GGGGGGGGGGGGGGGGGTAACGACGAAGCGGTGAAAGGAATGAGAAATATGAATTCTCAATCAAGCGAGACGTTGATATCGAGATGGACGGCTGAGATTTATTCATGCAGGTAAAAGCATTGGTCGTGAGTCAACTTCTTCGCCTCATTACTGCCGTTGATTCGTTTGGATCAGAACCGTTGCTTAGTTTCAAAGAAAAGCGCGTCTGCGTCACCGACACCAAAAGTGCGTTTGAAGTCCCTCACTCACGCGTCTGCGTCGCTCCCTATTTAAGGAAACATTTTTTTTTTCGACCATTCCAGGAAATGTAACAGAATTTCCAGTTTTTTTTTTTTTTTTCTGTTTTCCGGTCCCCAAGCAATTTTCTTTCTTTTAAAAATTGAGAATTTTTTGTGATATTGTAATAATTCATCAGTTACAGATATTTATAGTGTACAGATATAATCTAAATGAAAGCTAAATAGGATATTCCAATAAAGCTTTCAAGTTTTTTTTTATTCAAACCAGCAAAATTCTATCATTCACTCATCATTTACTTATATCTATCGAATATGCACAAAGTTCATGTCAGTACAAGTCTCCAAATGTGAGCTACGTAAGTAAGTAGCGTTACATATTCACAAATCACTGATGGTTTTTGCTCGGAGCATACTTCACTGACTGGGCCCGCCGCCACGGTTGCCGAGGTCGGCGGCTGCTTTGGCGGCTCGGTCTAGAGTGCTGGACAACCAGAGGGCGCCACGGGAGAAATAACTGCTATTGACAACGGTGGTAGCCACCGCAGCAGCGGTTCTTCCGGTGGCGGAGACAGCTGATCTGGCCTTGTCTGAAACATGGTACCTTTGGTCTGCTAACCTAACCGCTTCAACTCCTGTGAAGATTTTGTCAGTCAGACCCATCTTCTGGTCGAGTTCTGATACTTTGCCTGCAACTGTGGCCGAGACACCGTGAGATTCGTCAAAGGCTTTAGCTTTCTTTCCCTAAAACAAACCCCATTGCTACCATAGTTTTGACTACTTCTTGAGCTTTTGACACTGCTTCTCCTGCGTCAAACGGAGCCTGCAAATACAAAATCAAGTTAATCAAACTTCAGACAGATTATATGAACATTAACACAGTTGAAATTATGGTTTTTGGAAACAGACTAGATTGACAATCAAAACAAACAAAAAAAATCTACAGACATCTATAGACTACTTAAGCTGGATCTTAGTTGGACCATCAGCAGCTCAATCATTACAATTTTAATTTGTAGGTTCACATGATGTATATCATCAATTGAGTGCTGTATAACTATATATGCATGGTTTGTATTGTACCAACTCGTGCCTCAGAAATAGTGATTGGAGGTTCTATCATATCATATCGTACACAGAACAAAAAGAGTAGAGTTGAGAGAAAATTGTAAAAATGATTCATACATGTGAATTGGATTCATCTCCGTAGCTCCTTGGAGCTGCATTCCAAAAGTCAAAGCCGGCTTGATGCTGGCCCCAAGGGATTATGCAAACACGCTGATCCAATATGGTTGCCCCCTGAGAAATCGAGAATTGCAATGGTTGAGAAGATGCAAACCAATCGGCAAGGCTCAAGATACAACAGCACTTACACTAAGCAAAACAGCAGTTTCCTGGGAATAAGAATTCTGGAAAGTGACGTAAGCGGTGCAAGCTTGCTCGCCCGACCTATCTTGTTTACAAAACGTAACCTTTAGATTTTAGAATCGAATCCGTAAGCCCAACAAGAAGCTTGAAGTAAAAATCCAGAAAGAAAGGGAAAGTCACCTGACAATGTCAATGTGATCAATTGCACCAGAAAAGGAGAAGAAATCATATAGATCCTTCTCTGTAACAGCGGGAGACAAACCAGTGACTTCCACAGCGTATCCATGTTGATCATCCATCTTCCTCGACAGCCTAATACATCAGAAGAGCCTAAGTTTTCCTAACCTTCTACACATAAGAACTGCACTTGGTAAAAAAAAAAAAGCATGGCATACACTCCAACGCTTTGCACAAGGTCTACGCATCACAATAAAATATTGAAGAACAAGGAGAATCAGAAATTCAGGATCTCATCGTCCAATTTCTACCTCATCCAGACGAAAATCTGATTTCCGGAAACCCAAAATAAAGTCCAGAGTAGTTCCACAAGCTGCTAAACCCTAGAAACCCGATTAAACTCGAATGCAATCCAGAGCTATAATCTGAATATCACAACCAAGGGTCTCATTTCTAGAGATCCGACCGAAAACAATAACTATGGATGTGCAACAAGAACATCAAAGGCTGCACAGATCAGACAAAGAATAGCAGAATAAACAAAGGATCGAGAGCTTCGCACCTGTTGCTCAACGGAGGGAGAGGAGAGCATACATAGAGACGAAATTTGCCACTTTAAAATAAAGGAAAAGGACACCACGAACCGACGTCGTTTCAATCACAATAGCACATAGGCCTAGAATTAAATGGGCCAGAATCAGCCCAAATAGGAGTAAAATTGGATTTATAATTAATATGGGCCTAGAAACAGCCCAACTGAAGTGGAAATTTATTGAGTCAAAGCAGCCCAAATAGGAGATACTGTGCAAGAGAAAAGATTTGAAACCCGAGGCTGTGATATTTTTATTTTTGTAATCTGAAATTCTTGTGTGTATATATATGTTTAGCAACTTGAAAAATTAATGTAATATTTTTTATTTTTGGAAATATGTTGTATTTTTTGTAATCCGAAATTCTCATATATATGTGTATATTGAAAAATCAAAAGTTTTTATTTATTTATAATTTTGTGTGTGAAATTGGATGGAGAGGGATAGATATACGAAAATCGAAAGGGGATAAAAGGAGGAAATGAAAAAGACGTGTGCCTAACAAATGTTTGATGTTTTGGTTAAAAATGAGCACAGAACATTATGATTCTTGCTTGTGGAAAATGAAAGCCATCGCCACAATCAAGAATCATAATGTTCTGTGCTCATTTTTAACCAAAACATTAT